CTTATTGTAATATTTGATCGCTTTATCAAACTCACCTTTACTGTTATACGCGTCACCAAGTGCGTCTAACCTTGCAAAAGTTTCTGAATTCTTTGCAGAAGTCTCAACTTCACGTTCGAGAGAATTAATCACGCCTTGAAACATATACATTTCTTTTTGTATACTTGCACTTGTTTGAGGATTCAAGTTGATATATTGAGATTGGTATTTACAAGTTGAAATATCATTAAAACAGAAGTTATACAACAAAAAATCTGTCCATGGAATGAGAGTTGCATAAAACCGAAAAATAGCGGGTGCGTAATCCCTAACTGATACATGATCAGAGGCGGCAAGCAATTCATCATGAGATGGACTAGTTACGAAAGATATCATTTCTCGTTGTTGGCCACATCTACCATATACTAAATGACGCATGTTGATGGCCATGCATACCATGAGCTGTAAATCTATTTTAGCGCTCGCAGGCAGTACTTGCTTATCGTGTAACTCGTCGAGAATATCCAGGGAAGAAAATGATCTACATTGATGCAACAACTTAAGAGTGTTAATTGATATAGTTGCAAATCGGTAAATATTGTGTTTTGTACGCATCTGTGAATTGAATGACTCTGGCGTAAGAGGTTTGGTGAGGTAAGCCTTTAAATCTTCCCTTAACGTTTCTATTCCCCTTTCTTTACCTACAGACAGTTTTGGGTCAATGGTTGAACGAGAGGAAAGTATTTCGTGGACCTTTTCATTGTACTCGTTCCACAATGATTCATCCCCAGTGATCAGAGTGGATGTTAAAAGTACATCGCTTAGATGATAACCTTCCTTGAGAGAGACTTCTCCAAGCTGACATTCAGACATTTCATCAAGGGTCATAATCAACTCTAAAGTGTCTTGTTTTGTAGGGTGTTTTGTAGATCGTCTACCAAAGGGTATTTTACTAGCTTTTGGCAAGGCACCATCGAAACAAAGACCCTGTGGGGTTATTTCATCATGAAAATCATTATCTTTGACACCTTTCGGAAGTTTACAATTGAAATCGCAAAGAACGGGAATATCCAGGGCATTGATCTTTGTTTCTCCGAGATTGATAATCTTCAGGTGTAAATAATGAACAAGAATGCTAAAATCGCGTTTTAAATTGTCAATTTCATCTTTTGACTTACCAGTTCGGTCATACAAAATTGCTGATTCGAGGTCAGACCACGCGGTTACCTCCTTCCGAGCCAACGATCCTAGGCCTATTATTGCAAACCTACAATTGGGACGACCTAGAACTGAAATACAGTCATCTATCATGAGTTTGTGTAATTCTATGATCTTACTCGTCAGAGTATCATAGTAACATTTACTATTTTCGATCGTTCTCCTTTGGCATTCATCATTCATCTCGATCGTCAACGAGTCTATTAACATGTCTTCCGTTTGAATATCATGTATCGCCTCTTTTGAATATTTTCGAATGCCTTCTAAAACAGCTTTGTACCTTTCCCTGCTCTTGCTGAGGGATTCCTTGTTCTCTTTTAATACTGTCTTAAGGAGGCCGGTTTCTAATTGTTGCAGTTGTTTCTGTATATTATTAAAACAATCAGCTAAGATTACCTCGTTCTCTGCGTTAATCTTTTTGAATCGTTGTAAGGCGGTATTGTACAGAGCTGTTGCATAGTTGAAATGCCAACCCTCTCCGGTTTCTTTTGCTAAATCTGCATATTCTTTACCCAAATCACACATTAGTGTAGCTTGTTTCTCTACTTCCGTCTGTTTTGTTATTTCTTTTCCTAAGTCATACATAACTTTGGTAATCTCTGCAAATATAAAATCTTTCCTCTCTTACATCAAATTGCAATGAAAACGGTATTTCCCTCCGTCCCGGAAAAGCATATATTTTATATTTTATTCGACTTTCGAATTAAAGTCTCAAACAGGAATTCATTCATGCTGTAAAATCGAACAAGAAATATACAATCCCATGTTTTCAAACGATGTGTCGATTTTTATCAAAGTTGTCGACAACATTCGAAGAAGAAAGTACAACATACTATTATACCCCCCCCCCCTTATCAACGTCCAGTACCCGCACTTTTCAATGTCAATTTTAAGCGATTCATATATCAAAAATGACATTCTATCTCACCTTTAGACTCAGTGCCTTCAGGAATGTAGTCTATCTTCTCCTCGTACGTTCTTTTCTTTGCTTCATTTTTGTTGACACATATCTCCAGCAACTTCTTCAATTGTGAAATCCCTAAGTACAAACAAAACTGCTAGAATTGGCGTTACTATTACAGTACGTTCTACACGTACTGTACGCATACGCAAGGTCCTAAATATAAGTCACTTGACATTTACGTGCAAAATGTCACCACCTACCATTTGTTACAGGAAATCTTGGTAATAAAAACAAAATCCCACTACATGTGGTGTGGTGAAATAATTATGGGAACTTTTGTTTTGTTGTGTTGATTGTATCAATCCAAGCATTCGGTTCCAATTGTTTATATATTCCTCTATATTCATAATTGCTTATATTACTAGAGAATTTTCGTTATACGCAATTGGCCCCCTTACTAGATTCCTTATATTTATATGTATAGCTTTTGTGTAATGCGTCATTACAACTTGCGCTCTCTATTCGTTAGGCTATACGTTTTTTAAAGATAGAACAGGAATCATAAGTTAGAAGTTTTGTTATCTTTTTTTTCAGTGTCTTACATACATAATTGGTCTTTATTTACACACAGTGACATACTGTTTGAACTTGATGTTCATTATGCCGGCCGTTGTTAATGTGATTATATCAGAATACAGAACCCCGTTGTTAATGTGATTATATCAGAATACAGAACCACAAGTAAAATAAAGTGTGCTAGTATTTTGAAAATACATTTTCACATTGGTTATAGATTAACCGTTTTCGTTATACGTAATTGGCCCCTTATAAGATTCAATATACGTATACGTATAGTTTTTGCGTAATACATCAAAACATCCTGCGCTTTGTTCTCGTAAGGCAATACGTTTTCACGTATAGAACAGCGTTTATAAGTTAGTACCTTCCTTATCATACTTTTAGAACTTGAGTTCATAATGCTGGCCTTTACTTACGTGATTTAACCGAAATACAGAACCACGAGTAGAAAGTGGGCTAGTCTAGCTAGTAATTTTTCGAAAAAAAAAAACATTAAACATTTAGCATACGTTTTACTTCTTGTTGAGTATATTTTACTTTGATTTGTAAACGATTGTGAAAGTGAGTTAATTTAGTTATTAGTAAAAGTTAGTCAGATTAGTGTAAAGCTAAAATGTTAGGGTGTAATTTTTATTTGGAACATTCGATCACAAATGTACATATGTAAATACTTTTATTAAGAAATGGAATAGATTTGTTAACATCTGATCTAAGACATAAAGAACCCACCCTGTGACAATCATGAAATACAACAAATAAGAAAGGTGATAACCATTACATACTTACGCCAGGTAGAACATAATTTAATGACGTGGTTGGCGTCTGTACCTCGTTATATTTTATATTGCCCTCAACCAAACGATCATATCCTTGCAGAAGATTAAACAGCATATGGCCACCTAAAACATAAAATTAAACTAATAAACTAAAGCAATGTTAAAGTACTATCAATCTTACCTGCGTGACACTGTAGCATGACATGTATTACAAGGAATACTTTGATTTAATGAAACAAACAAGTCTAAAATGACATGAATCCTGTTACACATGTTTGATAAATGATATCGCGTAAATTGTATGTAATGGATATTTATTAAATAAAAAAATATCAGTAACATTCAATTTACGTGATTCACTTGAAGCATCTTTCTTCTCGTTGAGGTAATCTCGAGTAGCAGCGGCTCCATTGTCCTTTAAAATTTGTTTATAGGTGGCACTCAGCACCTTTAGTTCATGGCTTGTCAATTTGACTACTACTTCAATAAGTCCATCAGGTATATAATGTTTATTTTTTATTGAGTCGTCTACGATTTTGCTTATCAATTGTGCTCTTTCATCTAGCTCTCTATTGGACGACGAGGGTGACCAATTCAGGAATTTCTCTATATTTCTGAACAGACTCGACACGTTATCCAGAATGTCAGTGTTATCTAGTGAGAGTTCATGTTCATCACTCTGCTGTTCCGTTGAATCTTCATCGAACGCATGTCTGCTATCACGAGCTGGATTCTCACCTTGAAAAATAGACACTAATTACTACTTCAAATTAAATATTAATATTAAGTAATGCAAATGCTACCAATTTTCTAATCATTACTCCACATTGGGAGAGGCGCCAATGGCCGATTTGAAATAGTGATACATAGAGCACTTCAAGAATTTAAAACATTATCTTCAAAAACAAATTCCATAGGAAATGTTATTCCTAAGTGGTGAGATATTTTTGTCACCCTGTACCTCTTAAAGGAATTCCATCTGGTAAAGAATGTTCTCTTTCTACATTGTCGTCAACAAAGATGCCACTCATATATTCATACCATTGAAGCAGCTTTTGCAAACCTACAAATGTTTAAATCAGTGGAATGTTCTCTTTCTTTATTGTCGTCAACAAAGATGTCACTCATATGTTCATACCATTGAAGCAGCTTTTGCAAACCTACAAATGTTTAAATCAGTGGAATGTTCTCTTTCTTTATTGTCGTCAACAAAGATGTCACTCATATATTCATGCCATTGAAGCAGCTTTTGCAAACCTACAAATGTTTAAATCAGTGGAATGTTCTCTTTCTTTATTGTCGTCAACAAAGATGTCACTCATATATTCATGCCATTGAAGCAGCTTTTGCAAACCTACAAATGTTTAAATCAGTGGAGATGACTTATAGCCGACTTACATTAATATGTATTCCATGTCAAATTCGATAGAAGTAGGTTTTGTGACAATATATAGAGGTTATTTACTGGGAGGGATTGAATATGTTGCATATTCCGAGGGACAAGATGCAATATCATCTTGTCACTAGGAATAAATCCATATTCAATTCCGACAAGTAAATACGCTTTTTATTCCATGATATTCATAACTCTCTTTATTAAACCTTAAGTCCAAAATTGAAGTCTATCTAAAATCTGGTATGAAACAAAAGCAGAAGTTTATTATATTATTAGTCTACACTATATTCCCGGGTGTTATTAACCGGGAGTACTCGTATCATGGGATAGATTTGGTTACTAATGGACATTTACTTGATTCCTTCGGAGCACGTTCCTTCAAAGTCATAATAAATGCCTGGGTTTCTTTACTATCATTTTGCTTGAGAATACCATGGTCCACACCAGCTGCTTTTTCAAGTTCACTTTGTACAAGCTGGTCGACAAGTTGAGAAAGACCATCAGGCCATTTTATACTCTTATCAATCGCTTCAAAGCAAGTATCAACAATCTGACCCAACAGTTCTTCCCTTGTGCTTCTGTCTTTAATTAACTCTACATTCAATAACTTCAGGAACAATTCTCCAAGTTTATTGGACATAGCGTGCCATTCGACATCAGTATCAGTAGCATCTATAAAATTAATGATCGCGTAATTATTTCCCATCGTTGTATTTCATCCAATATGTCAAGAGTGAAATACCTTCAAAATAATTACTTTGGGCATTGATTCACTGACGATATAATCCCAAAAATATATTTTAAATAATATTTTTTTTAAGGCAAATTATTTCATTTTAATGTAGCTTCTTTAGCCAAAATCACTGGCGGGAGAGGTCGGAAGTAATGACCCTATATACGTAGTACCAACCTGGAAGTACAAACAAAAAGTAACAAAAGAAAGTCCCATGTCGTTCCCCAATTCAAACTATTGAAAATGAATTCTAGTAATACTCCATAGCATGAATCTTCTTGTTGAGACTCAATCAACTTGAGTTCTTCTGAGAAAATGTGTTCAGCAAGGGTGCATTTACATTACATGGTGACATACATGATGGTATCTCGATTCTATACGTTTTTTTTCAGTTCAGTTTAAAATAATTTATTAA